GTGTATATTAGAACTACAAGCATTACATTTATGATCCATATATCTTATTTTGGTTTTAGGGTGCTGTAGGCTTTTATGTTGAACATGTATATACATCAATGTATATCAACTCAAATGCTCAAGTGTTGAATTTAAATTAAGAATATTGGATAAGTGAGGAGCTATATAAATGCAAAGATCACACAAAATAACTAAGTTGCATCTGATGACGAGTCTGAGAAAGCAAAACAGGTATTCCTGTAAAAAAGTGTAGGTAATTGCTCATCACAGAGGCTCTTTTCTAGAGCCTCTATGTGTACCCAGTTCCAATAAGTTTATGAGGCTTTGTTGCAGCAAAGAAGGAGTAGTGGGGCAGGGCTATTATGATCAGACACCTTCACAGCAGTGAAAGCATGGCTGATGTCCTCAAAGCCAAACACACAAAAGAGACTAGAAAACATTCTATAGATGTTTCAGGGAAAATCTCTTTCCCCTTTTGTCACACTGTATTAGCAGAGGTAATTAAGGCTACCTGTTCTAATAAGCCACCCTAAGTATCAGAGAGGTACCATGCAGCTTCCTTTCTTAGCAGCATCAGAGGGATTGAGGACCATCTCAGATCCTTTAAGGAAAGTTTTTGCCCTGCAAGTGGAGGAGGAAAAAAGGATCTTAGAATCAAATGCATATTTAAAGGGCCAGGCTTAGAGGTAGTCATCTTGACTGCTATCCAAACTCCATTGGTCAGAACTAGTCACATGGTGTCACCTATATTGAAGAAGGCTGGGAATTGTAGTTTGTATGTACAGGAAAAGGAATCAGTTTGGTGAGATTCTTCTACCATAGTATCTAGCACATGTACATTTTTCTTTAAAAAAGAATATTTCAAGTGCTGTGGTAGTGGCGATTATTTAAAGAAATCTTGCTGACTGCAGGCTCACTGTTGCTCAAGTTCTTTCTAACGGTGGGGGCACTGGAACATTAAGGGCCAATTAAGGATTCTACTTGTTCATCCTAGTCATCTCGCAGCATTTCAACTCTCTTGGTGGAGTGGGTGCTGTTGCAAATAAAGACCATTTGGCTTCACATTTCTGGGCTGATAACCTGAGCAAGGTTGACCATTTCTATGTGTATGTGCACTAGTAAATCCATACATACTAATATGTGACATGTTAAAAACACCAAAGCAAATCCTAAAAAAATGTCTGAACAAGCAAAAGCAGAATATTGCTGAGGGAACAGGTTTTTCAGTGTGTGAACGTGGAGTAAATCATCTGCAGAACCTAAATCTTGACAAATGATTGCTACCTTCTGACATTCTTTCAACATTCCTTACATGTTTAAATAATGGACACAGCCATCTATGACTCTGGTTCTTGAAGTCTTTTGTAGTAATTAAAAAAAATTTAACCATCCTGAGTAACATTTTATTGTTGAATCAAGTGACATTTTATGTCTTGTAAACTTCCGTCTCTCTTTACAGTTTCCCTAGGGTTTCTCCAGGGATATTCAGAGACACGACTCAAGAGGAAGATTGGCTGACAACTCGGAGCTCTGATGAATGTTAATGTTCTTTCTACTACATAATAAAACATCTCATTCTTTTCAGCAAACAGATAAGGCGCAGGAGACAGGATTAGCATCACATCTGTGGTTGTCCTGAGGAGGGCAGAATAGAATTTAGATGAAATCTAAGGTGGATTGTATGGTAGTTTAATATTTAATTTTAAAATCTGAAATTGTTTAGTGAGAGATTTGCTCTAATCACTTGCCCGGAGAACTGAAGAATTTAAAAATTAAATCTGTAAACATAAACAGTCCAGTAAAGATTAAACTCTTATACCGGTGTTCTATTTCTGGTTTTGCACCAAGCGACTCTGCGATCTTGAGATTACCTTGACCTTTCCTTCAAGTCTTCCAACATCTGTTATTTTTCTTGAGGTAGTCCCCGATGAAGCAGGGATTTGGCAATTATTTGGTGTGTCATATTAACAACAGAAAAGACTATATCCTGATTTAGTCTGATAAAGTAAGTAGAAGTGCTGCCCATAGTGGTCAAGTTCATGAGCCATTCCCCAAATAGATGTGTTTTTTTTTCCCTCCATAAAGATACAGCCTGTGATGATGGAGGCTGCTGTGCACCTGAGGGAGAAAAGCATTTTAAGAAAAGATGAAGCATTTCAGCTCAGAGGACTCACACCTACTTTGGAGGACAAAGAAGAAAATTAGGGAAACATATAAAGAACTTTTAGGTTGTTTCCTAATATAATTAAAATCCAGTATAATGTAATAAAAGCAACTTTTATAAGATGCTTTGAGAAGGTATGCCGGGGTCCAGCCCCAGCAGGTCCAGGGGTCCCCAAAGGTGTAGACGGAGTCGGCGAAGAAGGAAGGACACGGAGACAGTGTTCAGTTGATCAGCAGCCTAGCCAGGATCTCCAGCCAAGTTCTGGTCTGGATCTCCAGAGAGGTTCTGCTGTTTATTGTCTTGTTACATCCGTATTTATACCAGTTGATTTTAATCCTGTCAATTTCTATTGCAAAGGTTAGGGCATTTCTTATCTCCATTCCAGGGAGTAAAGATTATGTAGTTTAAGCGTGATTGTTTGTAGTGATTAACTACCCGCCTGGCACTTAGTTAAGGAGTTTCATCCCCTCCCTGACTTCAGGGAAAAATTCCTACCTGGGGAAACAACCTTTCTAGGAGAGGCATCCCCTCCCTGACTTCAGGGAAAAATCCCTACCTGGGGAAACAACCTTTCTTGGAGAGGTGACCTTGGTTAAAACACACAGCGCTAAGGGGAGCAAACATATTAAGAACAGTATGCTATATACGCCAGGTCCCTTGAAACATATGCTGTGCAGATGTTTCTTTCCTGCAGCGACTGTGTCAAGCAGCAAGGATGGACCGGCTTCCGGCAAAGGTAAACACATTGCTGTGTCTACGCAGTATCTCATTAAGGGCAGAAAACAATTTTCTGTATAATAGGCTTCCCCCTTCTACTTGATTAACTAAAAGGGCAGCAAGTAGCTGCTGCCCTCGTGGCTTGTATAAGTTCACTGATAGCTACAGCCCAGGCGGACACAGGGACATGGGCCAGGCAGAGTGGCTCCATGCATTCAGATGTGCTCTTGGTTACCTTTGATGGACCAGGCACCGTGAGCTAGATGCTAGGGACAGAGTGGAACTACCTTAATAGTCACCAGTGAGGTGCCTGTTGTGAAATGGGACCAGTAGGATGATTTGGGAATTTAATTAGGAGACTAATCTCATCAGTGGGAGGCTGCAAGGGAGAGAAAGCCACTCTGAGGAAGTGGTATTTAAGCAGAGACTTGAAGGCTGAGTAGGAGTAAGCTAGGTAAAAGGGAGGCAGGCCTCTTAAGGAAGCAGAAACAGCGTGCACAAAATACCTGAGACAAATGAGAACCTCCGCATTCAAAGAAACTGAAAAAAAGTCCAGAGTGACGAGGCCTTGAAGAGCAAGGGGGAAAGAATTAGGGCTAACAAGCTGTTGACTCTGGGGTTTGTTGTGAGTGTTAAGCTGGTCCTCGGTGCCTGAGGGAGTAGGGGCCCCTAGGAGTAACAGGGACGCTGTGTAGCATCTTCCATTTTGCAGAATGTCTGCCATTGCAGGAGTCAACCTGAGGCTGCACAGCAGCGCTACTCGGACTCCAAAGATAGCAGCTTTTCATTTTAATTCATTCCCAGTGGTGCCCTCTTCCTTCCAGGCCCTGGCTGGACCTTACAGGGAACCAGGGAAATGGTGTATCTTCTTCAATGAGATTCCCCCCTGAGGACAGCTTTGGTCAACATTTTTCTGTTAGGTTTGTCATTTTCCTGTCTTTAATTTGGCTCACTGGCTACCTAACTTTACCCACTCTGATGTTCTCATTCTCCTCTCCACCCATGAATAACAACCCCATTGAACAACAAAAAGCAGTGGTAAAAAATAAAAATAACACTTGAATGAGATATCAGAGACAATATAATCTTTTAAGTGAATTTATACTAAAGTGTAAATGACTGAAACATGCATAACTTCTCCAGTCTTCTTTGTGAAAAGTACCTTTTGTTCTGTGTATTTTTATTTTAAAGAAGTTTGCATATAAGCCTGAGTTTTCATTAGCCATCCGATGAAAATGAAGACGAACTGTATAAAGGAAGTCTTTTAGACCAAGGGGGACATTTTTCTGAAAACGTCGACACTATAACTGTAGTCAGCCATAGACAACATTAAAAGGAATTAGACTCTGGTATGATCTTTATGGATTAGTTCATAGTTCGCTCTTTAAAATTTAACAACTGCTCAAACCCGCAGACACAAACAGGAACACTCTGGAGAGTTCCAGACGGTAGAAGAAGCTCTTATGCTCTTCACCCCACATGCCTCACCAGGTCACTCGCACAACTCCTCTACCTGGCCCCTTGCCAGGGACCTGCTCCAGGGCAAAGGAGCATCTAGAGGATGTCTCAGTGTCTAAAAAGCACTACGTCCTGTTGCTTCCTCAGCCGCTGAAAGTGCTGTCCTACTCTGGTCCTCAAACCCAACCCCCACAGGGCACACCTACAGAGGGTAGGAAGGTGTTTCAGATCCCACCCCGCCCCCAGCGAGGGCCTACGGAGAATGGCCTGCCCTGGGGGCGCAGGCATGGCCGGCCCCCATCACCTGCCCAGGCCTGCGGGAGCTCATCCAGAAGAAGCCCGGCGCGGGCAGCCGCAGCGCTCTCTCACCCCAGGTCCCGCCCGCTCTCCTGGACCCTACTTAGGCCCCAAGAGGACCTTCCCTGTTTGGGACTCTGTTCGCCGCCCCTCTTCGTCCCTGCTCTCCAACCTTGCTCCTACAGCCTCCGCCAGTGCACCCGACCTGCAGGGAAGTTGCTCCTGAGCGGTTGGAGGGGCGTCATCGCCTCCTAGCAACGCTCCTAGCAACCGGGTAACATCTGCTCCCTCTGGTCCAATGCGAGCAGAGAACAGCTGCGCGCCCGCCTCGCGTTCGGAAGCAGAGCGAGAGGCGCTTCAGAGAGCGGAGGGACGGACCTGCGGGAGCCAGGGCTGCCGGCCGAGCTGCAGTTGCCGCCGCCGCCGCCGCTGTCAGCGCCGTCTGAAGAGTGACAGCCGCAAAAGCAGGGAGCACCGAACCCCGCGCCTTTCCCAGACAAGTGCATGCGCCCGTCTCACGGTGAGTGGACCCAGCTCGCAAGGTGTGGACTCCTCCAGCCAGCTGCCTCCGTTTGAGGCTCAGGGGGTGAGGGTGGGAAGGTGTTGGGAGATCCCACCCCGCCCCCAGCCCATTGAAAAGTGGTCAGCTGGTAGCCCCAAACATCCCGACTCAATTAAGAAATAATAATCGTGGAGTTGGTTCTTGAGGATGTCCCTGCCCATCGCTGTTAGGTTTGTGCTCGGAAGTTTTCAGTCCTTGTTTTTCCTTGGACTTCGCTGCCTGTGTGCCTTAGGAAGCAGCAATCACTCACAGGAAGCCTGCGGTGTAGGCGAAAGTGACATAGTGGAGTCTCCACTAATTGAATCAGCACGTACCGGGAGCAACATCTTTTTAGGTCCTGCTCTGGAAAGGGTCCATTTGGCCGGGAGCAGCCCTTCACTGTTACTCAGCCTCCTGAAAAGTAACCATAGTAACTCACCTCTCTTTTGATGGGATCCTCCTCATTGGCTGCCTATCTGCCTTTGGAAAGCTCATCTCTCTAAATATAGAAGATGATGAGATCTGTAAGCCTACAGCTATGTAGAAAAGGTGCAGCTAAACATGCCCTTTAAAGAAAAGTGCCATTTAGCTATTTCAAAGCTTGCGAGAAACAGTGTGTATTCCAGAGAACGATTGAATTGGTGTATTTTGAGTTAACTGCTGGATTCTTACTTTAAAGAAAATCTTTTCTGAAATTATACAAACCCTGGCATTAAAAAAAAACACATATCTCTCTGACTGAGTTTAAAAACAGAACAAAACATTAACCGACTGTTAATCTCCCAGTAAATAACAGGTGAGATCAGTTATTCAGTTATTTCCAGATTTCTTAGGATAGTCAAGATTCCTCACGTTTGAAATTAAATTTGGAGAAAATGAAATTAATAGTGTGTTCAAAGGCCTCTCTATTTTCTCTCTGGTCCAGACCAACCCCCCGCCCCCCAAAGATCTGCGTGTCCTCCTACTAAGTGCTTTCACCTGCTTGATAACCAGTTCAAGTCAGTGTCGTGCTCACGTTTCCCACATTATTTGCGTCTGTCTCCTTGTTTCAAAACCTCAGGTAACCATTCATTCATGAGCCAGAGGCTGTGAGAAATGCTTGCTGTGCAAAGGGGAACTCTCACCAGATTTTCTGAAGCTGTCCTAGAAATACACTTTTCAGATTGATTCAGCATCACCAGGTAATCACTGGCTTTGCAGACATTACTGTTTAAATATGTATCCAGAGAAATAAATGCTAATGTAGCATTACCATAACTTACAAGATCAATGTAAGGGGTTGTTTCTATAGATGGTTGCTGGGTAGAAGTCAATAGAGGGTTTCTGTAGAAAGGACATTTGTGGTCTGGCAGATCTTCCTCTCTGAGACCCATGTGAATAGGGTGGGCCAAATTAGGTAGCCTGGCTCAGGGAGCATGTCAAGCGGAAGCCGGCTCAGCACACTGGAGCATGTCTGAATGAAGGCAATGAAAAGAACTCTCTAAGTTGCAAAAAGAGATTGTGGTGATGTTTTAAATTTAATTTGCATGAAGGTCATGATGATACAAACCCATCAGTGTTAAGCATTTAAACTCAATTTTCAAGACTGAATGTGGTCTTTTAATGAGGGTTCAGCCCTCCGGCGTTGTGTAACTTTCACATATACTGAGCTATCCATGTGCACTTCCTGTAGGTAACCAGCCCAGCGAATTGTGATCGAATTCATGAAAATGTGTCATGCTGCCTTTCTTCCCTTTCCTTACTTCCCTTTGTAAAAATAAATAATTGAACAATTTTACTCAGAAACCAGTTTGAAAATTTATTCTGTTCTGGCTGTTGTATTGTGTTTATTTATTCAAGTGTAGTTGGTATACAATGTTATATCAGTTATATTAGTACAGTGTTTATGAGTATCATGAGGCTTTGAAAATACTGGTCTCCATAGTCATTGAAATATTTGTGGTTTAGTGGTTTTAAGCATTAAAGGTGACCATTTGAACCATCACAAATGTTGGTTTCAATTGGCCTGTAGTACTGCCCACCCTTTTTTCTTTCTCCATCGCAATTACTACATTTTATGGTGAAAAACAAATCTAAGGATACCAAAAATACTTGCTGTCATTCTGCCATGAGATGCAGATAGAGATCTAGTCATGCTATCAACCTGAGGAACGTTTGAGTACAGCAGCCACAAGTATTGATTCCTGTACATGCCTGAGTCTTGAGTTTTAGTAATTTATACACATCCTATTTTTTATGCAATATGCATAGGGGTTTACAATCCTTCAGTGCCTTTAATTATTGAACGAGTCTGCCCTTTCGTGAAGACCACTGTTGCAATCAACAAGGTCAAGTAAAAGAGGCTCTTAAATTTTCATTATGATTTTATCCTGAATGTATAATGTGCAGGATATATGCTGTGTACTTTTGGAGAACTGATCTGTTTAAAATCATTCACCAGAAAATGTTATCATGGTATTTAGCTTTAAACAAATCAAATAGTACCATTATAAGTTTTTAATCCTAGAGACATCGGTGGATCATAAGTCAGAGTGGGAAAAACAATTCTCACCAATTTGTAGTTAAGGATGGAGTCACTCTCCTCAATAGGAATACCAGCTGTAGTTGAACATGTAAAGAGGGGGTGTACTTTGGTCTATAAGGCTCCGATAAAGCTGAGATCAGTCAGGTTAAAATGGAAACCAAGCCCTGATTTCAGTTTTTTCCCAGCTCTTGTTGGAAGTTTTTAGGTGTTTATGAACATTCCACGTTCTGTTTTATGTCATGGTACTTTCGTGAGATTAAGGAGATGCTTTGTAACGTGGAGGGAAGTGGAAAGGTTTGATGAAGATGCTGGGGTTTCTTGCCTCCACATCTGGGCTCTCCACTGAGGACTCAGGCCAGCTGGCTTCAGCTATCAAAACACCAGCTTCCCAACAGTAGCTCTAAACCGAAGGCACAGCCAGTTCACATTGCTCTATTTGTCAAAGCGATATGCTTCAGAAACCCAGAAAAGGCTGAAAATAGAAGAATTTCAGAAGCAAAGATGTATATGGACCATAATCATTCAGGACTAGAACTGAGCCAGAAACACCTGTTCCGGTTTAGGGGAAACCAATCCTTGTCAAACTCCCATCCCCACATCTTATTTTTAATAAGTTGTCTGTCTAAATCAGAGCTTCTCAACTTGTGGGTCGCGACCCCTTTGGTGGTCGAACGACCCTTTCACAGGGGTCGCCTAAGACCATCCTGCATATCAGATATTTACATTACGATTCATAACAGTAGCAACATTACAGTTATGCAGTAGCAACGAAAATAATTTTATGGTTGGGTCACAACATGAGGAACTGTATTTAAAGGGCCAGAAGGTTGAGAACCACTGGGCTCTAAATGATCAGTGCAGCCCCTTTTTAGTCTAACACAATTCTTTTTAAATTTTTTTCTGATTAAATTTTTACAAACAGGCTAATAACAGAGCCATCTAGTTTACTGCACTCATTCTCAGTGGGGTGGTGGGAGGATATTAATGAAAAGCACAAGGGTTGGCTGGTGTTGTGTTCAGTACTATAATATAGCTTTATATTAGAATAAAAAACTTTTTCACATTATAAATTATTGACTGTAAAGTGCAACAGAAAGTCTACTTGGTAGGCAGAGATCCAAGTGTCTTCTAAATACCACTGATGCCTAGAAGGGGAGGAGGGCCAGGTTCGAAGCTGGAACTTCTCCTCTGTGGTGGTGTTTAAAAGTATGTGTTCTTTTTAAGATGATTATCAAAAGGGGGCCTGAAATATCAAGAAAAGCAGGGGTATTGCAGAGAATCAGGACTCTGGAGCCTAGCCTCACTTCTGCCCCCCTGTGGTACTTGTTTCACCACTTCATGGCTCAGGTTCTCTACCTGTAATGTGGGAGATAGACCAACTCTTAATAACCTTAGGTGGAGTGCGTGAGCTTGAACACAGTGCAATATAATGAAGCACCTTCAGCTCCTTAGAAGACAGGCTCCCTGTGAAGGAAGAACATCTTGCCACTAGAGCAGCTCCAGGAGGTGACACAAATCAGGCACCATATGAGTGAGGGCAGAAAACCACCTAATTCCAGAGCAAATTCTCATAAATTCTGAGTGAGCAAAATTGTTCACGAGTCATTACATCTTTTGTTTTTCTACAAACCCTTGGGGATACCTGGCTAAATGTTTTGGGTGCTGTAACCCAACCTGATGGTGGTATCAAAGTGGAAGATGATATAGATGATATAGGTCAGATACTTTTCAAAAGACCACTTGCTGTGTGTATATTAGGGATTATAACCTTCCTCTCTGAGCAACAGACCTGGCCATCTAAGGCAGTTTAGCCTCTCCATAGACATTATTGGGAAGATACTTCTTGGGACCTATATATAGCTATGCAGTTGCTTTACTAATTTTCTTTCTTATTTCCACTTTCCAAAGTGAAAGGTGGAGTGAAAGGGAGGATCATCTTCAAAACAAGGAATGCACTTCTGAGGGGTGGTGAACCACAAAGTTTACCCAGGAAACCTACAGCTGTTGGTCTCTATCGTGGCCAGGGCCCGATCATGGCAGGAGTTAGGCTTTGTGCAGCATCTAAGGTAACTTCATAGCTGCATGGATGGTCACATCCCATGGAATGCTCTTCTCTTTGGTTCCAAGGCCATCACCAGGGAACAGGATAGATTTGTGGAATTGTCAGTGTTTCATTTAATATCCCGTGCCTGTAACTGGGGCGGTTCCAGATGCTGCTGGTCTCTTGAGAAACCCTTCTAACTCACTGGCTGTCAGTATCCCAATGAAAGTTCCTATGAAAGTCTTCCAGGAGCTACAACTTGTTGGTAATTTAAAACTGTCAGTGGAGTCAGTCTTGTGTGTGGGATAGATGATCCATTTGATGAAAGAGATTGTTCCATTGATTCAGAGCTCAAAACTGGCACTGAGTTCTGCTCCCATACAGCACAGTTCCCAGAAGGGTGCTGGGCAAAGGCTTGTGAGGGAGACAATTGATGAAATATTGCTAAATATCAACAAGACTAAAGGTCCACAGAGGGCGCAGCATTGCAGCTTTGGATGTTGCACTGGTCTACCTTCCTGAACACACTCAGGAATGTTTCATGCATCCTGTGCTTAACACTAAAGGGAGAACAGATGTCCCATAGATAACATAGTGCTGCTGAGTAGGATATATGTATGACTTCAAAAATAAGAAAACAAATAATAATACCTAACATTTATGCACCAAAAAATATGTGGATATGCAACAGGCACTGAGTATGTGCTTTTAAAACATCATCTCACTTAATTTGCATACAACTCAATGAATTTGGCATTTCATTGATGGGGAACTCAGGCTCTTTGAGGTTAAGCAAATGTTGCCCAAAGTCACTAAGCAAAAATATTGTAGAGCTGGGATTTGAACTAGGCCTGTGGAACAGTACTGGGCAGTCGTGCTGAAGCACATATTTTAAGTCTGCAGCAAGATTACAGAACATGGCCGACAGTGACAGATGGAATAGCTCTTTCCAAACAAAAGTGGTCATGGCCCTTAAAGAAGAATGTCTGGTAGCTTTGCCACCAGAAAAGTGTAGGTCTCTACCTATTTCGATAGGTAGAGACCTACACTTTTTTGTTGTTGTTGTTAATCCTCAATGGAGGATATTTTTTCCATTGCTTTTCAGAGAGATTGGAAAGGAGGGAAGGAAAAGGAGAGAGACAGAGGACAGAGAGAGTGCAACATCCATGTGAGAGAGACACTTTGATCAGTTGCATCCTACACATGTCCAAACCAGGGCCAGGGATCAAACCTGTAACCCAGGTACATGCCCTTGACTGGGAATTGATGCTCTAACTGCTGAGAAACACTAGTCAGGGCGAGACATGTACTTTCTGAGGCTCATGCCAGGCTAACACCACAAAAAGGGAAATCAGTGGGAGACTGGAGGCAGAGGCCCTTGAGTTGTCTGCAGCATGAGTCAGTGAGTCAGTGGTTGATCTGAGAGGAGCACCCACCTATTCTCCCCATTGACGAGACTCTTCTTTTGTCTGTGGCTACAGATGCACACATCTCATGGGATGGTCTGGACGCTGGTTTTGCAGTGTATTGATTGAATGAAAAGGAAAAGCTTACCAACATTCAAATATGTTAAACTCATCAGTTCACCATCTCTCAGGCTTTTCAGTCTTGGACAAAGAACAGGTTATGATGACAGGAGGTGTTCTTTTTTTATTGTCTGTTCTGTCAAAGTGTTTGTAAATTAATTTGCTGATGATCTTTCCTTAATGTACTGCCCTGGGCCGCGCACCAAATGAAATCACTTGTATAATAATAGGGTTTCAGTTGTCTGGAGTCAGAAGCAGAACAATAAGAAAGCATTTGAGCAATCGTTGGTAATTACATTTTAAACATTTATTTAAAGAAATAAGTACAAATTGTACTGCCAGAACCCCAGTGACAGGATGGTCATTCTGTTCTGTGATTCTTAATTTGTTGCTCGTTGAAGTTTTCCACCATGACATACACTGAGCCCAGCAGAGATTTCATGTGTCCAAAGGAAACGATTTGAATATACAAGCCAGCACTCGCCATTTTACCTTCAGAGATAAATTTAGGCTCAGCCTAATTCAGTTTTATGATTTATATGCTGTTCTCAGAGCTCAGGACACTGTCTAGGAAGACAGAGTCATTTTACTTTTTCTTATCTATTTCATCAGCTTCATTAAATTACAGGCTGGGCTGAGTTTGCCTTTTTAGTTGCCGGAGACATATACATACAGGTTTACACATGTTTTCTGGGTTATAACAGGCACACTCCTTTGGGTATTTGGAGTAACTTTAACTCTCCAAATGACTGTGTGGATGTTTCAGAAATATTTCCTTTACCCCAAATGTATGACCAGAGGCACTAAATCCAGAAATATTTGCTTGCAGCCTTTATAGTAGCTGTACTATATTTTTAAACGTGACTGTTTGAAATATTCCTTTGCAGTCTTTTACCTCTCTAATTATAACCTAGTATCTCTGGGAGGCAGGGTGATGGAAAGAGTCTCAGAGTCAGAGCTGGGAGGCCAGGCTGGGGTTTACTTCTGTGGGATAGATCTGCCCTTATTGGCACTAATAAGAGCTAGGATTTATTGAGTACTTACTATATACTAGGCACAGTGCCAGCCTCTTGCCATGAATTATTTCAGTGCTCCTATGAGCCAGTATTATTTCTATCCCCACTTTGCAAATGAGATTCGTAGAGTTGATGTAATTCTCTCAAGGTCACATAACTAAGAAGCAGCAGAACAGAAATTGAAACCCACTTCCATCTGACTTCAAAACCAAACTCTTAGCGGACAACAGACTGTAAATGATTGAACTTCTCTGGGCCACAGTTTCCTCATCTACAGACTTTGGAGGCTGAACCAGGTGATCAGATAATAGTTTCCAGGTCTGAATTTTTTGAGTTCCAGTTCAGCCAAGAAAACAGATGTAGCTACTTATGTTTGCTGTATATTTTAGTCTCAAAGTGGCTGAGCACATCCTCCAACATTTGATGCTGAAAACATTGCAAATAGCTAAACAGCCTGCAAGGAGGTAATTGTCAAACTGATACCAGCTGTGAAAGCTTTTCGGCATTTCAACAACCCATGGGGGTGTTTTTTAAGAGCAGTAACCTAAGTTGCTAAGTGTGTTTGTTGCCCAGGGAGCTGAGACACCGCGCTAGTCCCTGCAAGTCCCCTGTGAAATTACTCTGTAGTTTCAGGGTTTGCAACATTCCTCATCATAGGCTGACTGCTTGAATACAGCCAGACAGCATCTTTATGAACCTTGGAGACATTTGGTAGATTTTTTGGCCTTGATCTCTTAAATAAAAATATGTATCTTCCCCAGAGCGTTACTTGCTGTATTTGACATTTGGTTTTCCAAGTTTCCACCTTCCCTTCCTTGTATCATTCATTCAAAGGTTTTTAATTGGTTATAAATGCTGTAGAGATTGCATTGCTTTGGAAAGTAAAATGAGCGGACATTTAAAGATAGGTACATATTGTATTTATAATGTTTTCCTTATGGTAAAGTCACTCTGCTCATTTCCAAGTCTTCCTTCATCGTGTGCTACTCTATAGTAATTCATTGGACCTTATTTTAAGAAATCAGCAGCTTCTCCAGTTGTAATGCGAACAACAGCCATTGATACTTCTTAATGTGAGCCTAGGAATTTCTGTTGAAAAGTGACATCATTCCCTAGTTAAAGTGCAGTCTGGCTTTGTTCATGATTCTAAAGCATCAATGTTGCAATAGCAACAACAACAAAAATCAATCAAGCTGATTGCTTGGCATTCTGATGATAAGGCAATCGGCTGATTGGCTCAATGTTCTGTTTTTCAACTTGCTGTTGTAGTGCTACTCCGGAGTTTTCCTAAGGCTTTCACATGGAAGCTCTAAAAAAAAAAAGTGGCCCTCAGACCTGCAACATCAACATCATCTGGAAATTTGTTACAGATGTGTATTCTCTGCTCCCAGCCCAGACCTCCTGAGTTAGAAACTCTGGGGGTAGGCCCCAGCAATTGGCGTTTTAAGGAGATCTCCGATGGTGCTGATGCTGGCTAACATTTGAGAACCACTGGGGCATCAACTAGTTAAACCATTTAAAAAGTCGCCAGTCACAGGAATTGATCGTCATCACCGAATGTCCCAAAGTTTCACCTAATTATTTGATTAAATCCGTTGAAAATACACCAAAGAAAATGCAGTTTACTGAAAAACAGCCCCTGGGAAAAGTGCTTTCAAAGATGTTTCCTTTGTTTTCAATGTAATCGATTTTGTTCTTTTGTTCTAATCTTTTGAAATCTGTAAGAATTCCATATAAACCGAGTTTTGCTGATTGAATTCAAAGATTGTATACATATAGTAGCAGTTATTGTCTTTGCTTAGATTGTGAGTGATCATTACACATTCGTCTCTTTAGGTCAGACACACCAATGGTTTAAAATTTTTATTGTACTTACAAAGACAATAAAAGACTTTATAAGACTTTATTTAAAGACTCTCTTGGGTTTATAATCCATTGTGAGGCACTGACTATCTGGATTATTTAAGGTGTGATTTTGTAGCTTTTCCTACCAGTTTAGAAAATCATTCAGCTACAAAAAGCTGCAGGAAGCATTTATACAGATGCATCGAGTTGGGGAAAAACTAGGAGGAGCAGATTCTTGAAGAACACATTTAATATTTATGATTTAAAAAATTTAGGGTGTTGGAGGAAAAACATCAAATGTCTTAACCAAAAATTTACTTAACACTTTAATAAACTACTCATTTTGAGAAGCAAATGGTTTCAACACCTGGACATATTTGAGATTAAACTAGACAATGGTTAAACATGAACTTTTTTTTTTCTGGTCTGGCCTCTGAGGTTGAATGAGTACTGAACAGGACTCAATAATTTGTAGTCTAAATTCATTCACTGCGTTCACTAGGAAGCTCCTTGCCTTTTGCTTTTAAGGTCGAACTTGCTTCTTTTCTGTGATACGAGCACCACCTAGAGTACACACTAGGAACTTTCTTTAAACCAAACCATCTCTTTTCTGAAAATCTGCTCTCAGAACACTGTCCTTCCTTAAGTAAGCCAGAATCCTCAATAGCAACAGAATTTCAAAGGAGAGAACAAAGATTTTCATTTTTCAGATATTACACCAAGGTCAAGTGTTCTAAACCTTTCATTTACTGATGATTAACTCTTTAAGACATGCATTATGAGGATGGTGATATACCATCACCATATCATAGGCTTTGTCTATAGACAGACACAATTATTTCTTTAAAAGTGTAATTGGGTCACCAACCAATTTTACACCAGCTTGATTAACCCAGAACCATTAAATTACCTCTGTAAATTAGGCAGTTTAACTAAAAGAATGATGACAATAACATCTTTGTTCATTACATTTTGTGAATCAAATTGGGTATGTTTCTGCATTAAATGGCATGAAAGGAAATAGAGGATTGGTTAAGTATTTTATTTTCAAGCGGATGCTTAAGGAAATAACTATAATTCTGCAACCTGAACACCGATTCTGGGCCTGAATAGTGGCATCTCCACCACAGGGCAATGCCCCTGACTGCTTTACCAAGCTGCTTAGTAAGTGAAGAGAGAATACCACTTTCCAGAGTCCCCTGTTCCTTTTTACTCATAGCACTTTTATGGTAAAATAGCCTTTGTCACAAAATCTGACTTTTCTCCAATTATTTTGTTTTGTTTAGCTTATCCAACCAAAGTATTAACATACACGTTAACAACGTCGAAAGTAGCCTACTTTAAGAGGAAATATGCAGAAGAAGAAGATTTACATCAAGATTACCATGGGTATTTTCCAAAAGTAAGGGTTCGCCTGTTATTATTCTTTCATTTTTTATGACTCAGCAAAAAGTGCTGGCTTTCATGTCTCTAAGGCAAGTAGCGTTAACGATGTGCTTGCCTTCCAGCACTTGATACTGCCCGAAGACAGGACCTGCATACTCAAACTGTCTCTGGAGAAGCTCAGGTTTCTTGAAGACCCAGAAACCTACCTGAGAAGGTCTGTGTTAATTAACAATTTGCTGAGGAAGATCCACCTGGAGACGGAGAAAGAGAGCTATGAATACTTTAAAGAAGCTCCCTGCTATAAGACTGCTTATTCTGATGCAAGAAAACGGCTGAAGTTTATGGTACAGGAATGCTGTTCTCAGTCTCTCTATTACGAAGAGCTGCATTCGTATCATATTGTGCCTTATGCTTCGGAAAATGCCATTTATGGGATGGGCTACACTAGCGGCCACTTGGAGCAGAATTCTCAGTTGCTTATTTATAAAATGAATTAAAGTAACTGTTAAGTCCATTGATACTTTGTTTTCTAAATGCCTGAACTGTTTATAGTGAAGATGTGAACGTAAGGCACTTGAGATCCAAGATGAGATGCATGCTAAACTGATCAGAGAGAACTCTGGTTATTACTCAGCAGTCCTTAGTATCATCAAGTCAAACTGGAAATATGTCCACCCATTATTAAGTGGCAAGTAAGTGCTTTAGAAGCACTCCCTCCCCCAATTTATTTTAAGATAAAGTATAGGAAGAGACGAGATTGACTTCTTACACAGATTTAAACATTTTAAGCCCGTATTTCCAAATTCTGCCACTCATGGTGAAAAGTAACAGATGAAACTGGTAAAATCTTGTCCCTGAGGATTAAAGGTGGAACAAATTTACAGTAATTTTCTGTAAACGATGAGGAGAGAGGTAGGTTCTTGCTGAAAAGCTTTGCAGTGTTAAGCATTGTGCCAAATAATCGTTTGACATCATTCTCCTTTTTAGCATTCATGGCAATTCAAGATGGGGCAGACTTATGGCAATTTAACTGCTGAATGTAACAACCAGACTACTCCAACCTGATCCATTTTGCTTTTTGTTTTTCTGGTCTCTTTTAAGGTGAAACTTCATAAAATAGCCTTGTGGATGGGCTTATCTCTAAGTTCTAGGGGCAGTTAAAATTTGTGGTGGGTCTTTAGTTAAGAGTTTAAATTTTATTTATGATGTCATTTTTTTTATAGGCTGTGAAGCTCAGGAAAAGAGTAGGCAGGGAAAATTTGTTTTAATAGGTTGATAATTTTTTAAAAATCTTATCTGCAAAAGTTGGGGAGAACAACAGAAATTCTACATGATGTTATTTCTTTACTTAAGAGTGCATTTAAGGCTGCCTGGATGAAACTTTGCACTGATTTTTGTACAGTAGTTGACCAATCACTATTTGACAAAATGTTTCAGAATGCCTTTGGGGTCGAGTTTAGATCCATCCCTATATTTTGCAACTTGAAAGCTAATTATTTAACAAGTTGGATAGATTCCTGAAATCCTTTGAAGCAGTTCATCATTTTCTTTGAGGTTCGAGTGAGATGTCTGATTTAAATGTCTTGAGTTATGTCCTATGGAGCATATCATTTCAAAAATTGTCACTAACTGATAAAGCAGATTGGGAAAACTAGATGCCAAAGGTATATTCAAGAAAATACCAAAGACCCAAAGATGAGTGTTGGCTAGAGTATGGTAATCAAGGTAAGAATCTTACATAAGGATTGTACAGGACATAGGAGAACAGTGTGGAAGGGTTTTGGAAAGATTTGCCTACTAATGTGCTTTCTGAGCACTTTGTACATCACAATGATAATCAAGGACACTGCTTTAAATGAAGACATGACAGGCCTTCGGTGATCATATGTTTTGGCAAATTTAAGTATGGTGATCTGTCAGCCTTGTATCTTGCTTTGTTGAAAGCCATCTTATACCCAAGAAGGCCTTTTTCTCTTCAGGAGAATTTTGTTCTTAGTTTTGATTCACAACTTGCTCCCTCTAATGAATCATAGAGGTGATTAACATGGATGCTTTTGGTATAAAGAATATCAGTACTCTAATCAGCATGCATTGTTAGAACAACATAGCTATATAATTGGTAAAAGTGTCTGGTTTATATTTAATTGCTCAATCAAAACTAGGAAAAAATGCTTAGGAACAAACTGAAAAATTATCATTGATGTTAATTTCTAAAGGCATTTTGGTATAAATGGTGAGATAGCTTTGAAATACAAATATACATATTTAAAAATTAATTTAAGGGCAAAAACTTGGCCACAAAGTTTAGAAACTTCATTTTACTGCTTATAAAATACCTTATTTTCCAGAATGTGTCTTTTAAAATGTAGATTTCTTAAACAGTGGGGGCATTATTTGAATAGATGCAAAACTTGTTAGGATAATATTACTATCATATAATTAAAAATAGAATTAGCTCTCCAATAGTTTAAATTTTTTACTGAAAAGAATATTTGGCTCCATTTAGGACAGTGTCTACAAGAAAACACACTAGTGCTAATAGATGTGACTTACAAAAATGTCACATATTACAATTGTTTGAGGAGAGAAATGCTCATACTTTGCAATATAGAAGAGAGAGAGAAAATTACCAAGACAGTGTGAAATTGTAATATATACTGTGTGTTGGAAATCTTAAACAAAGCAAGAACTCTTAGTCACTGAACCAGTAAGAGATGTGAAGTCTGTTTATTTGGTGACATCGTTAACCCAGCTCTCTGATCTATACATTCATATGTAGAGAAGGAACTTACAAACCAGCAGTATTTCTGAATATGCTTTTAAAAAATATGTGCTGATTTCAAAACAAGTTATTTTAAAAATATCTTTTAGAGCATCAAATTTCTCTCCCAATAAACAATTCATAGTTGAGTTGACTAATATTATCTTGACTTTAAAAAAATAATATTTATATTTCAACTATGTAACTTTCTGAGCTAACCAATAAGATGGCTGATTTATCCGGCCAAACTGAATCATAGGGAGACCCTGCATAGACCTGCTCCAGATGTGAGAGGCCAAATGGGCGACAAGGTACACCTTTTTTGAACCTGGACATCCTTTCTCTGGTGACCAGAGCCACTCTTAGAGTAAGACAGAGAGGGTGGGAAATATGAGTGCCGTTGGTAATTTGGATCACTCTTGTGGGTGCCCAAACAGCCAAAAGACCTAGTAAAAAAGAAGAGATTTTTAAAAAGAGGAGAGGAAAAATGAAGAGATGAGGAAGGGGGAAAGAAGGGCAGAGAAATAAGGAACAGGATTAGTAAGTGAAAGAGAAAGTTGTTTCATGTGGGGAGGGGTTGCTTGCTTATTATACTCAATTTTGCTTTCCTGCCTGTTATACATCTAAACCCTGAGATCCACTTTGTATGATCTTTTCTTTCATTTGCTGATGATGCACAAGATTAGATTCTATTCAGTATATGCATTATTTGAAATGTGGTATTTCTGTGAAACATACCTGACACTGAGCTCCTGCACAGATGAGAAAAGGAAAAATAGAAATTAAGTTAAGGAAAAGACTAAATGGCGAGCCTATGTATACATGGGTAAGCTCGAATGCAGGATCAGATTCCAATGTATATTCCTAGATTTAATAAGTTCTAGTGCTGGAGGACTTAGAATTAAGTGCAATTCCCCACTACTAATTGAGCAACTACTCTGAGCCAGGCACTGTGCCAGGGTTGGGGATTTACTAGCAGAGATGAACGTGCAGTTAAGCAGTTCACTGATGAAGAGGAACTCAGCAATGTATGGCTTTTGTTCAAAAGGTAAGGATTCTATTGGGAATAGCACCTGCATTTCTCTTTTCCAAACTCTGGGATTGTTCTCAAGCGTACGTCTCCAAAGGCATTTGTGGCTAAGTAGATGCCCAGGGAGAAGGGAAGGTCCACTAACCCAGATCTTAGGAAGGAGTGTGCATTCTGCTTTGCAGCATTTTTTTTTTTTTTTTTACTTGGAGGCATAATAGAGAACTCCATTGAAGAGGGAGAGCATGGATGACCTTAGCCCATTCCTTGGACTCGAGAAGTCATGGGGAGGTAGGGAGACACATGCAAACACTGACCAATTCCTTATCCTTTGACTTCTGTAACTTCCATGTTTTTTTACAAGAGAAACTAGGTTAATATTAATGCCAAGGAGAGTGTTGGCAGAGAAGCAGAATTGGAAAAATCACAGCCAGAGAATTGCATATAGGGTGTTTAAGGTTAAAAGGGCAGCATTTTTTAATTTGCCTTGTGCTGGTGCGTAGCTTAAGTGAACCCCAGAGATGTCTTAACACCTGCTCCTGGAGCTGTCCTCCTCCTCTACCACTGGCTTCCTCTCTGAATCACAGCCCAACACCCAGTCTTTGCTGCAGGTAGAAGCTATGGTTCTAATTCTTCACTCTCCTTCCCCCCAGCATTGATACTGATTTGCCCAAAAATACTTGCAGGAAAGTAACAATTTGCAGGACTGGCTGAACTCCTGTGGGAAAGGGTTTTCAGAATGTATCAAAGTAGAATTCATCAGTTTCTTGTTACAGTTCTTTGGAAAATTATTGTGCTTAGTCATTCAATAATTGTCTGTTAAGGTGATCTTCATGTTTCTAGAGTTCACTGTATTAGTTATCCGTTGTGTACGTTTTTGTTAAAGAAAAAAAACCTTAGGTTGGAAACAATGGCAGACTGTGTGCAATTCAAGCAGTTTATGAATATTTATGTAATATATGGAATTTTAACTTACATTTTCCCATTCTCACACTTCAATACTATATCCATCAACATGTGACACGTTTCAGGATTTTTGTTTCTTTTTTAAGTGGACCATGCTTAAAAGTTGTTTCCTTCATGGTTGAACATGTTGGTCAAAATTTCCCTACTAAAGTGGTTCTAGCTGTTCCCAAGGATGACTTATAGTTGGGTGGATGAAGAACACTCCTCTACCTTAGTGCTTCTCCAATATTTTGTGCATAAAGTCACGGAAGATCTTGGTGAAGTATATTCCTTTTAATAGGTCTGGCATGGGGCCCATGGGCCTGCCTTTCTCAAGTTACCTGGTGATGTGAGTGCTGCTGGTCCACTGACCATATTTTGAGTAGTGAGACTCTATATTACTTTGAGAATCCAAATATACACTCAAGCCTATACTCTTACTATTTTCAAAGAATATGTATTCATGCCAGTTTTCCATAGACATTTTTTTCTTTCAAGAAATGCAAGGTAAAAAGTAAATATCATAAACCGGTTTTCCAAATCGGCCACAAATATGAGAATAGTTTGTATAGTCAAATACACAGAAAAGTATTTCCCTTATAAAACTTACCTATATCAAGGAGCAGAGAAAGAACATGGATGTAGTCATGTACGGTTCTTATCAGTCAAGAAATGACACATGATAAATTTCTCTTTTTGATCCCCCTCCCCCCGCTTGACTATATACAGATAAGGGAGCGCCATTTAGTAACATGAAGGCAAAGATGAAGTTTTGTTCATAGTTAACAAGAATTTGGCATTTTTTTTTCATGGCCAAACCTAAGAAAAATCTTAGAAAAACATTCTATATTGTTGAACTCAGAATCATGGGTAGCTGCAGAGCCTGAAGAATTTGGGAAACCTGAGCTGAAAAATCGCACCTCGATCTTCAACTTCTTGCTTTGAACTCTTTCTTGAGCTTTATTCCACAAGGGCCCCTGCCCTTGCTTCGGGAATCCTGTTTTCCTTTGGCCGTGAGTGAGGGAGGGGCAGAGGACTGGTGTAAGTGAGGCTGTTGCAAAAACTGTCTGATTTGAGCATGCCAAGTGATGTTTTTTCTGTCAGGCTCTCTTCCGGTCATAAATTGTTGGGATAGCTATTGTGAAATATAGTGTCATAAATTTGTCATAAACCATTAACAAAGGGAGAGAAGAGTTGTGTGAAAATGCACTCAAATATCAAGCAGATGGTGTTCTACAACATTTGTTTGGGAAAATGTGTACCTGTTACGTAATTTAACATGTGTCTTTTTAACATTTAAAAATATTTGGTTCATGATTTAGAGTTTTTATTGGATTGTTTTTTAAAACTGAGGGGAAGAAGAAAGGTAACTGTATTTTAAAACATATTTGACATGTTATTAATAAAATTTTATTTCTGGTGAAACATAGGTGCCTTATTAAGCAGGGGAGGGGGGTCATGAACATTTGGCAATTGCTTTATGCCCTTCAATTCTAGAGGTCTCCTGTGAAAAGGCATCTGGTGATATTTTTCTCAGCAGTTTATTTCCAGCACAAGGTTTGCTTAAGTACCTGGAAGACTTCCCCATCTCCTGGCAAATTTTCTTCATTAAAATTGACCCTGAAATGGTTTTTAGGTAGCATGAGTCATGAGAACACATGGCAGGACTCACTCTATATAGGCCTTATTCAAACATCACAGGTATCAATCTCAGAGTAAAAGATAATTTCTCTACCCAGGGAAGAGCAGCATTTGTTCTCCATGGATTTATTAGGTGAAAGGAAGGTGGAATACACCAGGAATATCATTCCTTCTCTTCCTAGTAGGAACTTGTGTTTATTTTTAATTTTTCTAACCAGTTATGATGAAGTCCCCTACATTCCAGTGACTAGTGAGCAATGCCCAATGTAAGGTATTTCCAAGCAATCAACATTTTTGTCTGTATCCAGCAAGGCAAAGGCTTAAGTATAGAGTGATTTGAGCAACCCAGGAACAACTAACTCATTTAAGTTACAGAGACTTTTCTGGACGTGTTAGTAGAAACTTAAACACATATGATGAGCACATCTAAGATGGTACCCAAAAGAGCCAATGACTCTCTTCCAGGAGTCAAAAAACAACCTTGCATATTACATAAGTGTCTTGGACTGCGTCCAGTTGGTATGTGGTGGTAATAAATCATGTTATCCAAGTGAATCTTAGTTTTTTCCTTTATAAATAAATGCATTGTTCCATTCGTGCTCTATATTTTTGGTCCAAGAATAGGTGGTTATGCATTTCTTCCCTATTTGAAGGTTTATGGAACACACACTGGAGAAACCACAGGTTGCAGGTAGATGGGCCTTTTTATTCTTCATTACTATATTTATCATTATTGATTACTAGAGGTCCAGTGCATGAAATTCATCCCCTTCACAGGGATCCTGGCCTGCACCCTCTCACAGTCCGGGAGCCCTGGGGGGATGTCCGACAGACGGCTTAGGCCTGCTCCCCTAAGCCAGCAGTAGGACATCCTCAGCACTGCCACAAAGGCGGGAGAGGCTCCCACCACCTCCGCTGCACTTGCCAGCTGTGAGCCCGGCTTCTGGCTGAGTGGCACTCCCCCTGTGGGAGTGCACTGAGCACCGGGGGCAGCCCCTGCATTGAGCGTCTGCCCCCTGGTGGTCAGTGCACGTCATAGCGACTGGTTGTTCCATTGTTCAGTCGATTTGCATATTAGCCTTTTATTATATAGGATTTTATTATTATTAAGACATAAAAGAAAGGATGAGTCCCTTAGGGTGCTTCTCTCACTGAGCTTAGAATCTACTTAAGATTTCAAGACACATTGAGAATATATATTAGAGTTGAGTTGATGGTAGTAAAGACAGCCAAGTTTTAACCCACAAAGACCTACCACAAAAAGGGATTTGAACATTTCATGTTCTTTTTCTCCTTCATATACTACTTGCCCACCTTATTCTATGCCACCTGTGGCCCCGGCCTTCTATTTGCCACTGGCTGGCTGTCACTGAAATTAATCAATAGTCATGGCAAGCTCTCCCAGGACAAATCTTTACAAAGTCTTGGTTACATAATCACAGCCAGTCCTTCATGTGTTGGCAGTTTTCTTAAAATTCTTTGATCTGAGTCCACTGAATTAAGTACATTCCATGGTGTGAGAGCCCCCAAACATTCACTTATCTGGGAGGTATTTTTTTCAGTTGCCTCATGAATTTTTAAATTAGGAATATCTGTAAACAGCGCTGCATAAACACAAGTTATATTGACTTACATGGCTCCTCTCAAGGTAAAAGAATATATAGAAAATAAAATATTAGTTCCTATGTACAAGAGAATATAGCACCACTTTGACAAATTGTGGTCAGAGTTTTTCCATAGTTTATGAGAAACCAAATAGGGACGTTTTATCTGTATGTCTCATATTCCCTTTTCATCAGCTTGTGATACAAACTAGGTCATGATTTTTTAATTATCAAATTAAAACTACTTCATCCTCACTTGACTTCATTGGCAGGAAGTCTAGTCTTTCTTCTGGGAGAAGCTTCCCAAGGTGCTCCAAGGACATGCCCCTGGTCACTGGCCAGCTACAGCCTGTCAGGAGCCAGGGGCCCCTTAAAGAGGCTCCCCTTACCACCAGAGGCTCAGTGGCTCCAGGGTCAATGTGATGTCACCATGGAAACCAGGACCATCCAGGACAAGGCCCAAAGACTTGTGGTTACTGTGAACAGAGAAACTATCTCCTTTTACAATGGAATCTTACCCAGACTGCTCTATTTTTATAAAACACACATGGGCTAAAATCCCTCTCCTATCAAATTTGCCAATGATTTTATTTTTTGCCATTGATATTAAATAATCTCTCTCTATATAAAAGTCTAAGCGACAGTTTGACCGCTCGACCCTTCGACTGGTAGCTATGACACACACTGACCACCAGGGGGCAGATGCTCAATGCACAGGCATGGAAACATGGAACAGACTAATGAATCTCAGAGGGAAGGGGGAAAGGGGGCAGGAGGAGATTAACCAAAGATCTTATATGCATACTAGAGGCCCGGTGCATGGATTTGTGCACTGATGGGGTCCCTTGGCCTGGTCTGCAAAGATCAGGCTGAAACCAGCAGTCCGACATCCCCCAAGGGGTCCCGGATTGCAAGAGGGTGCAGGCCAGGCCTAGGGACCCCACCGGTTTATGAATTCATGTACCAGGCCTCTAGTTAAGAGACATAAATAAACCAGCAAATGTTGTCTCTAGTTAGCTTTCAAAATGAGCCAACTATAAAAGCTTCACTCTGCTGTAATGGACAGACCATTAGAACTGGGGAAAAATGTAAACCACTAAGTAGTTCACTGTCTCTGGTTTGAATTATGTACACTTTCCTGGATTCCTATGTAATTGAGTGTAATCGAATTGATGCAGTTGGCATTGATGGAGAGAGCGTTCTGTGTGGGGATAAGAAGCAATCATGCAGTGGGCAAGCAGAATCGTAGAAGCAACCTGGACAACAGGTACAAACACCATATTCAGAAGAAAAGGACCCTGAGCATGGCTCCAAAAGGTAGACTGTTGTTATTTTTCCTTCTTTGAATTTTCTCTAAACGTATGAGTATGAGTGCCTTCCAGACTGATGGCTGAAATCATTGCTACTGCATGATTAATGTACTGACATTAGTTTAGTTTAATCAGAAGGAACTTTTGTATTTCTTTACATACGACTGGCCCACTGCTTTATAAACTTGTGTCCTATTACCCTGGAACAAAGACCCAATGATGATCCTGGATACAGAGTTTGACATCACCCAGAAAAATTTCAATGATATTCTTAGTCAAAAATCAAGATTACAGTATTGAAAAAAAAAGAAAAGATCCCAGACATGGTGTTGAAACATATATTTTGTATCTGAATTATAATATGATAACACTTCAGTTATAGTTCCAGTCCTTTCTCTCACATCAGCACACTCCAAAATAACTCTCCCTATAAGATACATCCCCCAAAGAAAGTTTGTAGGCCAGGTGTTGACTTTCAGTCTTGGCTTCCAGTTCAGGTTTATAGGAAAAATGTATCATATATAATATTTGATATTTAATATTTAATACTTTCTGAGTATTTCTTGTTGCCTGAATAATGGAAAGCTATTTCAAAATGTTGGTTTCCCACACTTACTTTTGCTTATGCCACCAAAGGACCTCAGATATTTGCTTCTCTTAGCTATCTATTTATAGATTCATGGAAGTCGTTGACAGCTGCCTGGGACACTGAGATTTTAAAGATGCAATCCTGCTCCACAGGCTAAAATATAGAAGGGATAATAATAATAACATATGCCTAGCTCTAAATAAAAATAGATTTGCCTTTTTCACAGCTGCATAGTATTCCATTGTGTAAATGTATCAGGTTTGTTTTGTTTTGTTTTGTTTTTTATCCATTCAACTACTAATGGGCTATTTCTAGATCTTAGCTATGAACATATGGGTGTATATGTTCTTTCTGATTGGTGTATCAGAGTTCTAGGGTATATTCCTAGAAGTGGGATCACTGGGTCAAATGGCAGTTTCATTTTTAATTTTCTTTTTCATTTTTCATTTTTTTAGGAAACTCCATGCTGTTTTCCATAATGGTTGTACCAGTCTGCATTCCCACCAGCAGTGTACTAGGCTTCCTTTTTCTCCACATCCTCACCAGCAATTGTTGTTTGTTGATTTATTGATGGTGGCCATTCTGGCAGGTGTGAGGTGGTACCTCATTGTTGTTTTAATTTGCCTTTTGAGACAGCATGGAGGGACTTGGAGATGATTATGCTAAGTGCAATAAGCCAGTCAGAGAAAGACAGGTATCACATGATCTCACTTATGTGGAATTTAATGGTCACAATAAGCTGATTAATGAAATAGCCACATGTGGCTACTGGCTACCATATCTAAAGTAAGAGCTAGCTGAAGGGAGACAAATCACCAACTCAGATGATAACATTTTAGCTTAGAGTGAAACATGCAAATGGAGAGTCAAGCAACTGACAATATAAATATGGAATTAGGAGAAGGTTCTGTGGGAGAAGCAGTTAACAGGCCAATTGCCAAATCTTGCAGAACTACTGGTAATGACTCAAAAATATATCATTTTGAGTATATGACATATCATTTCTTCTGACATAAATTTTATGATCCAATATGGCATATTTGAACCTTTTAACATTCCACACAGGCCTTTATCCTTATAAAATTCTCTTTAGTTTCAGATTACCACAGATACAATTAACTGACAAGGTGCTGGAGACTTGGGATGGAATGGGAGGTGAGGGTGCAGGTGCAGGGTGCTGCTACACTTGTGACCAACTTACCACTGGGCTTGGTAATCTGATATTTCCACTAAGAATCACTGCCACATGTGTTTTGGAGCATTCAGGAGCAAACACAAAGGCAGTTTTTGCTCTTCATGATCTTATCATCTGATTTGTGGACACAAAATACCATTAGATATTGAGATTCTTCTCCTTTGATCCCAATATCTACAACAGACCCAGTAATTGTAGATGCCCCATTTTTAATCCAATGTCACCTCTTTCATCAAATTATTTCAGAGTCCTCCAAATGGATATTCTCTTTTTCACTTGAGCTTTCTGCCTCCTTTAAACATTGTCTTCCTTGTATTGAATTGTTCAACTACATCTATCTCTTCTCCCTTAGACTATGTAATCCCTGATATAGAAGTCACACATTTATCT